ATGACACTTTAATATGACAATAAAACTGATAATACTAAAGATAAATAATCTCAAATTATAAAGATGCTTTTTTCAATTTTTTAAAATAAGAGCAGTTATGTTTTGGGAATGAACTTTTACAAGGTAACCTTGATGATATCAATACATCATGAACCGGCCGTTAATACAATGGTACATGATTTATCCTTTATCTCCGTATGCATTATAATTAAAACAGGAACGGACAGGGAATTACAAAGATTTTCGCCCTATAGAATATGAAGGGCGAAAACGCGAAATGGCCTTAACCGTTCACCATAGGTTTTACTATTACTTGATGACATTTTGTCTTTTCATTATATGGATTTGACACTACTTAATGATGTTTTGATATAACTCAATATGTTTTTTTTATATTACTCAATATGGTTTCGTAATGACTTGATGGGTTTGTCATTACTAAATATGATTTCAACATTGTTTAATGTGGTTGTGTCATCAGGCAATGTGGTTTTAACATTACTTGATGTGAATGTGGGTTAACGTTTCATTGCATGATGTGGTTTTGTTATTAAGTAATGCTGATTTGTCTATTCTTTATATGGCTTTAACATTACATAATGATGTTTCAAAATTTGACGATTTTGCACTACATGATGTGCTCATTCCAGTATTAGATGTGGTTTTGTCATTCTTTGATGTGGTTATCACATCACTGGATGAGGTAAAACCACGTGACCATTTTTGAAAAATATTTTCTATTTTCAAACCGATTTCGACGTCGTTTGTTTTATGTGCCTCGGATGAGTGTGGCTATCCATCGTTTAAAATAAAGTTCGAGTCACTTTTCATGTAAAATTTCGAGTCATGCTTCGAGTTCGAGTAAGAATTCAAGCCATAATTAGATTTAAAGTTCGACGTAGAGTTGAGTTTCGAGTTACAATTCGAGTTACAGCACATAGACTTGATTGTGTAGGTAAAGGTAGTATCTTTGGTTTGCTTGCTTGCTAGCTGAACCATGAAATCATTATTAGCTAAGTTACTACCTTCCTTTGGGCGGAGTCAATAGCAGAGAACCAATCAAAAGTAGGGACAGTGTATAAACATACTAGTGAAACAAGTTTTACAAGTCAGTTTAAAAATAGGTTTTTAATCTAAATTTAAAATCTAGTTATAAATTAACAGAGTGGGGCCCTTTATAGCTTGCTGTTCGGTGTGAGCCAAGGCTCCGTGTTGAAGACCGTACTTTGACCTATAATGGTTTACTTTTATAAATTTTGACTTAGATGGAGAGTTGTCTCATTGGCAATCATACCACATCTTCTTATATCTATTAATTGATTGAAATGATATTGACAAATCAAACACACCTAAACATGCTTGTGAATTAGCTTATAATTGATACAAGATCTTAAATTTAGCCTCGGAATGAAAATCTATTTTTAAACTGACATGATAAAACAGGTTTCACAGTGTTTATACATGTACACTGTCCCTACTTTTGATTAGTTCTCTGTTTAACTATTGACTCCACCCAAAGGAAGGTGGTACCTTAGCTAATAATGATTTCATGGTTCAGCTAGCCAGCAATCAAACCAAAGATACTACATTTACCTACACACTCAAGTCTAGTTGCTGTAATTTGAGTCACATTTAAAGGTAGAGTTTGTTGTTTATGCAGTATAGATTTTATTGTAGCTAAAGTTATATTTCACATATAAGTATTCATTGGGGAAGGATCAGTACTCAAAAGGAAAACTAGTTTAGTAACCCTGCAACATGTAAATATGGATGTCGCGTTAGGCTTCAGAATTTCGACTTCAGCCATGATGTTAGTTTATCGTTGATAATGAATAACGAGTTATCCTGTAAATATTGAACTTATTTGAACTACTAAGCTAGAAGTTAAAGCACTGACCTGATCTAAAACGCACATTTTTAAATATTACGTTGACAAATTTAAGAAATTATTAAGAAAACTAGGGTTTAAATTCTAGCAGGCAAAGTTGACAGATGAAGGTACCATTTTTTCTGCAATAAACTGTTGTTGTCCGTTTCTTTAAAAAAAGTATATAGTTTTTAGTGACTTCTGGGTAAGACTAATAATGTTACTAAAATGATAATATAATAGATGTCATCACGGGATAAGATAATTAAATACTGTCTTTGGGCTCATTTATAATAATTACGCAATGACAAATGATATTACTTTCTTTGTGGTACGTGTGTTGAAATATCATCTGACATGCAAGCTTCATATGAAAGATTTACATCCAATACATTACACCTGTTTGTAAGAGCCAAGCAGTTAACCTAATTTGTAGTCGAAGTAGTCAACATTTCTGTGATATGAATTATCATTGAAATGGTCATTATTATAAATTAGCGGTTTACAAAACTTTGAATTTGTCGAAATACTAAGTATTTTCTACCCCAGGAATAGATTACCTTAGCTGCATTTGGCAAAACTTCTAGGAATTTTGGGCCCTCAGTGCACTTGAACGTCGTACTTTATTTTGGCCATTTTAACTTTCTTCATTTGAGCGTCACTGATAAGTCTTTTGTAGACGAAATGCGCGTCTGGCGTACAAAATTTCAATCCTGGTATCTATGATGAGTTTATATAGGATATAGGAAGATGTGGTATGAGTGCCAATGAGACAACTCTCCATCCAAGTTACAATTTATAAAAGTCAACCATTACAGGTCAAGGTACGGCCTTCAACACGGAGCATTGGCTAACACCGAACAGCAAGCTATAAAGGGCCCCCAAAAATTACAAGTGTAAAACCATTCAAACGGAAAAACCAACGATCTAATCTATATAAAAACGAGAAACGAGAAACACGTATGAACTACATAAACAGACGACAACTACTGTAATCAGATTCCTGACTTAGGACAGGTGCAAACATTTGCAGCGGGATTAAATGTTTTAATGGTACCAAACCTTCTCCCTTTTCTGAAACAATAGTATAACATCACAACATAGAAAAACACACTATAAAATATCAATTGGAAGGCTTAACTCAATCAAAAAACGTAAATTAACCCACAATGAACGAATAAATTTGACCTGTGACACCTGAATGCAAATACACAGTTAATAAAAAATTACAAGGACATATTTAGAAATGTGAAATGTAGCGGTGTAAATTTTGAAACTTTGTAGAAGAAATTCAATATATATATATATTTCTAATATTTCGACTCTTCAAAATTCAAGAGTCTATCCCAAATTGAGGTAAATTATATGGCCTTCCAAATACCGGTTCGATCCCTAACATCACTGAAGAGACATTAATTGTCGAAATCCGGATATGGTGTACTAATTTTTGCACCTTTTGTTTGCGGTATACTATCTTTTCCGCAAGTTTATTGTTTTCTGTTTGGTATTAAATTTATAAATTTTAAAAGATCCATTTTGTAACATCTTGTGATCCGTTTATTTGGCAATCGCCAATGGCAGTCAGCAGGGTTTAAGAACATCTGTTGTTCGACCTGTTAGTCAAATGCGTTTTGTTAAAATATACTTTTTCACTTTTTTGGTCTTTTGGAAAATGTTGTTTGTGCTGTATTTAGACCCCCTCTATCAAGAAATTTGTTTTGCATGCACACGTATAAAAATTGCGGTTTTTATCCAACGCAATCATAGGTTTGAACGTTGTTTTCAATTTAGACTTGTTTATATATATATATATATATATATATATCTATATGATAATCAATTGGTTTATTAATTAGATACAAGATCATCTATTAGTTCAAACTTTAGGGACCTTATTGGTTATTATTTTTGTATTTTTCGTATTTTTGAGGAAGGTAAAGGTATGCTGCAGGTATGTTTATTACGGAAGTAATTTATAAAGCTATTATTACATGCATATCAAAGATAAATGTAGGACGATTCAATTCCTCATTTTTTGGGGTATGAAATGAAGTTGCTCCAAGATTGGCATGACACATTGTGCTTTATATGCATTAATACGATCTTACAAAGCGAGTAAGTATTGCAATGTATTACTATAAAGCAATACTATAAGCGACATAATAATAGTACTTCAGAATCCAAATTCAACAGCTTCTATATTCCGAAAATCTAACGTTATACAGTAAAACAAATTTGTCAATCGAAGTTAAATTATTGTATAAATTTTGAAATATGTTGACACATTCAGTTCGAATTTCGAGCAATTTCTATGAAATGATATGGATACATACCATAATTTTGGAAATCATAACTTTTAAATAGATAATAAACCAGCAAAAAATAGAGAACATCAAATGTACTAAAATAAAGGCGTATTCTAAAATTAAATATTCCACATGTACAAGCTGTTTTTTTTTCTTCAAAAATCGCTACAAACATGGTAACAATTTAAAGTTGACTCTCATAGTACTGATATGGTACAAGTACAGACACTTTCGAATGAAAGTGGTGGGTTTCACCAAGTTTTACAGCAAAAATGGTCCAAATGGTAACCTTCACTATTCTCATTACTCCCATTAAAAGCAGTTAATACGGATGTATTTGCCATGCACATCGATCATATAACCAAAATTATTTCAACAGTTGGTCCCTTCTCCTTTGAATAAATTCATAACATGCATAATGGAGAGGAAAGAATCTGGTGTATTCACTCATGACATAAAATCTCTACACGCAATTGACTCAAATCAAAATAGCAGCACTTATATTGCTGTTCTGCATCTGAAAAAATCACGATGAGACCTTCAACACTAAGCAAAAGGTCACAGCTCACTGTAAGTACGGCCCCTAGCACTGGTTTAAGGGAAATTGTTTGTCGAACATTTTTATATTGAAGGAGACAGCTGAAGGATAATATCAACAACTTATGAGTTTGAATGTCCCTTTGGTATCTTTCGCCTCTCTCTTATATCGGACAGAGTTATCATCTACGTCTATTATTCTAATATGTTCAAATTTATATCTAAAAAGAATATCCCTCAATCCAACTACTTCAGTAATTTATAGCAATGTTATTCCGTTTCTTTTACAGTTTATTTAACAGAGATTAAGAAAAATGGAGACATCCTTATACTGGTGTATGTTCCTGAATATCATAAAGTAGTGCAAGCTCGTAAGTTTAACCGAAACGTTCTATTTCTAAAAGACTTTACAAACGAATAAGATGCACACAGTAGATATATATAATATACACGAAACAAACGATTCATCCTATTTATATTTTTGTGTGTTTTGTTCAACATATACGAATAAAAAGTATGCGCCAACGAGACAGCAACCAAACAACATAACAAAATAAAAGACATATGTCAATTAAGTGGATATATTTTTTCTACGAATTCCTTGTCTACCTTCACAAAAGAAGGACGCGAATACAAGGAGGCAAACTTATGCAAAGAACCTGAGTTGATTTTGAATTTATTTGCTTACAAACAGTATTTATGTACTAAATCCTACGGTATTATATTCATACTTTTCAACTAAAATTAAATGCTGTATAATAGCATTCAATTTAGATTGGTAGTTAACATGTACAAAAATGGCTCTGTTTGAGGTCTTTATTCACTTATAATTTCCGTCTTTAAAATGTTATGTATGTGAATTAGAACCTATCAATTAGATCTTACAAACTCAAAATGATTGTTAAAACAGGTTACTTCTTAATCATTTTAGTACTAAGCTCTTATTGTTTGTCTTGATTCATATTGATTCGGTTCAGTTAAAATTAAAAAAAAGCAAATTTACATGTTATTTTTTCTAGCTGTTTTACTCACAGATCCAGGTACTGTTTCTCAGCTAATAAAAGAAGAAGAACAACATACCTGTAAACTGGTCAAACGATACTCTGATAGAATGCAAGCCGTTGGTGTAAGTCTTATATATACTACCAAGTAACAAGCTAAATATATATTCATGAATACAGCAGAGTCAATCTTTACTTTCTCTTCATTTCAATAAAAATTAATGTTCACAGCGAAATATTTTTGACATCGGATATATAATTAAACAATATAAAGATAAGGATATGTTTACGATTGGCAATGAGACAACTATCGACCAAAGGACGAGGATGTAAATAACTTAAGTTTACGTACGACTTTCTAAAATGACGAGGATGTAAACAACTTTAGGTTACGTACGACTTTCTACAATGACGAGGATGTAAACAACTTTAGGTTACGTACGACTTTCTACAATGACGAGGATGTTAATAACTTTGGGTTACGTACGGCTTTCTACAATGACGAGGATGTAAACAACTTTAAGTTACGTACGACTTTCTACAATAACGAGGATGTAAACAACTTTAGGTTACGTACGACTTTCTACAATGACGAGGATGTAAATAATTTTAGGTTACGTACGACTTTCTACAATGACGAGGATGTAAATAACTTAAGGTTACGTACGACTTTCTACAATGACGAGGATGTAAACAACTTTAGGTTACGTACGGCTTTCTACAATGACGAGGATGTAAACAACTTAAGGTTACGTACGACTTTCTACAATGACGAGGATGTAAATAACTTTGGGTTACGTACGGCTTTCTACAATGACGAGGATGTAAACAACTTAAGGTTACGTACGGCTTTCTACAATGACGAGGATGTAAATAACTTTATGTTACGTACGGCTTTCTACAATGACGAGGATGTAAATAACTTTAGGTTACGTACGGCTTTCTTCAATGACGAGGATGTAAATAAATTTAGGTTACGTACGGCTTTCTACAATGACGAGGATGTAAATAACTTTAGGTTAAGTACGGATTTCCACAATGAGAAAAATCCGTACCGTATAGGTAGTCATAAAAGGCCCTAGTATGTCAAAATGTGAAACAATTAAAAAAATAAAAACCAACGGCCTGAATTATGCCAAAAACAATAAACTTATGGTCAGATCATATGAATTCGTACTATGCATGCTTTTTCAATGGAAATTGTGACGTCACGATGCATTCTTAATAGCACGAGAACCCATGAGACGAGGATATATCAAATGACGACAACCACTGAATTACAGGCTCCTGGGGTGAGACAAGCCAAAGTATGTCTATAAAACACATTTGGCGTGTAAAAGTAACATTATTTGGCATTTTTATAATTTAACTGCATGTTTTAACCGCTTCTGTTATTCGGGATGTTATTATTATTTTGAAACTGATTTACACGTAGATGGATTCAATATTGTTTGTGCTATTTTTGTATATATAATAATTTCATCTGAAATCTGGGATAACCATTGCAGAGCGGTACATGTTGAAAATGTGTATCCTTCACACATCGTAGAATTGCGCCTGCGTTGTGTCAAAGGTACTAGACCTGCCAACAATGGTCTATGAAAATATAGCTTCTATTACTCGAGTGATGTCTCGTTGTCTTCATCAAGGGTTGTACCACAGTACAGAATACGAAAAAAGATAAAAGCATATCGTATACATTAATACGCGATCCGATAAGTATAATATTTGTTGTTTGGTTATTTCAGTTGTTGAGTTGATAGTTGGGAAATAAGTCAACTCGCGATGTTGGGTATGAACAGTGCCAGTAAATGGGTATTCACAAACATGTCCAATTGTTATTTGATGTAGGTAGGAATTGTTTTTATACAATGCCCATGTAACAGTTGAATCAATAGTGGGACTGTTTTACAACTGTTAATAAACAATGCATGTACACAATACTACAATACAATCGGAATTGATGCCTTAAAATTTGCGACGATGCCAAATCAATTACAGTTACAAAAATGTTGCTTAAGAATTTCTCATACCGGTTTCAGTTTGTCAACATAGATGTACTTGCCAAATGTAACTAATACATTCATATTTTCATATTACAATATAATGTTACAAATAAACCGTACAAGAAGGACATTTTCAGCTTATTTTATCAGGCCGTGTCCATTATTCCGTCTGGCGTCATATATTTTCTTTATGATTTTCCTCTGAAACGATTTAGTCAATCGGAAACGAACTTGAATATCTTTAGGATGATCAGTTCAAATTTTGTTATCGTTAAGGTCGTCTATATTTCAATATGACCACCGTTACTTTAAAGCCGAAAATAAGATGAATCGTGCCAAATTATTTTTCTATGACTTTTCCTGAAAATTTTTAGTTCAGTATCTAGAAATAGCTGTGTCAAATGTGATTTGAAATATTAAAGATAACATGTGAGGATGGTCTTGTCGACTACTTTTGAATTATCTACAGTATAAGGGGCAAACGATAATTTTCCGATCCTGTTTATTTTTATAATTTTTTTTTGGAGGGGGGGGGGGGGTAGCGATGATATTTTAAAAATATATACAAATTACATGAGATAATGAATTCATAGTTCAATTCATTTTAGCAGTAGTATACAGAAATATCACTTAGACCAGGAGTTTCTGCAAAATCACTCCCTAGATGAGTTCCTAAGAGATTTACATAACTTTTGCAGCTCTGACAGATGACATAAATGCCATATTGTAGCTTTCTTTTTTAAAGATTATTATTAATGAATGCATGTTCTCCTTCTGGTGTATTGAAAAGCTCTCGATGTTATATAGCCTTTTGAGCTGAAGCAGCGTAAAACAAACAACAATCAATCAATCAATCAATCAATCAATCAATCAATCATTCAATCATCAATTAATCCTTTTTTTAATTTCTGAACCATCTTGACCTTTTTCGTATGTAGGAAAAACACTAAGCAATGGCATAGTTTAACATACCCCTTAACTCAAAGGTTATTAAGATGAGATTTTTTATCATAATATTAAAATGCCCACAGGACAGTGGTATTGACTAAAACAGCGATAATGACTGAGCCGTAGGCGAGGTCATTATCGCTGTCGCAGTCAATACCACTTTCCTACGGGCTGTCCATGCATCACGATCATGACCAGTTCTTCAACTATTATATAATTAACAACTATCAATAACTATTATGTTTATTTCATTGAGGAACCATGTTTTTAAAAATTCTCATAAAATTCAAATTGTTCATAGCAAACTCGAATTATTGTACGATTTCTATAGGAAAGAGTGAAGACCAGTCATAGTGATAACTATAAGTCACTGCCATTCATTTAAGTGCAGTTTTGCAGTATATGAATACAAAATAAAGTTTTCTATAATTTTATAATTCTTGTTGCTGAGTAGTTTGTCTCTATCAGCATCGGAAAGTACGGCAAAACGATCATTTGAGTTGTCTATAGCAGTCGTGCCTTCCAGTTCAGCCATGTTCCAAACGTCTGAATCGCGATTGCGTTTTATTAAAGGGACATCACTCTAAACAGAGAAACCACGCCCCACTGGTCAGTAACATGTAAAAGTCCGTTTACGACCAGTTTTCTGCTCCGTTTTTTTTTCTGTTAAAGACCGATGGAATTTTTTTTTAAAGAATAAAGAATGTCATATGGGCCCTTGTTATCCAATAAGAGAAGCTAATTCTTAACCGATATGAAATAATCTTCAGATACATTGTCTCAAGTAGCACCACGTTCATAAATAAAAAAAAAACAGGGTGAAATGATCAAACACAACGTTCAATAAGCAGGAAATTGATATGATGTATCTGTTTGAACTAACAGCAGTTACAGAAGTTAAGCATATGGTATACCTATAATGTTTGATTAACAATATAACTTGATTTCAATCTAAAGTAATCCTATAAACATCAATAACAAAAAACATAAGTTCATTACTGTTTGTTATTAAAATAAGAAGCTACTTCATTTAATATAATCTTGTATGTATTTAAATCAGGAGAATACAAAGTCATCAAAGTACGGAAAATTTCACATGCTGTTATCCTTTAAGTAATCAATTGAGCTAATCAGTACAAGCTTTAATCTTCTACAAAAACTATGTACATTACGGTAATTCCTTGACGTATATGTAAAGTAAACGCGTTTTGCTGCCGTAAATATTCTTTGAACCTCTTATTACTCTGAAATAAATGCCAACTTACGTTCGAGAAATGTTTTATAGCAATATGCAATATTCCCAACATCAGATAACATTTTGTTCTTGACTTTACCACTCAATATTGAAGACTGGAAGATATGCATACGGAATAAATGGTGTGTATGTCTAATGAAAGTTTCAAATCAATTACACGAGTGTAAGAAATTCCGCATATTTGCCTATTTAAAAGTGTGATATACCCGTAGGGTTGACTAGGTATAGACATATGGTCAACCTGGACTTCTTCTTCTCGGCAGTAAAACCCATTTGGCAGAATGGCGTGTATGAATAATAAGTCATGTCTCGTCAGTATAGGTACATTAAAGGGTTAGGGTAAGGGGTTAAAAGCTATGGATTGTGTAAGGAGAGTGTCGCACGTAAATGACAATCTTAATAACTCTAAAAGAGATTCGGTTGTGGCCTGTTTCTAAACAAAATGTCTACCTTATGTTATACACAAATTTCCTATGACAGGGACAGACAGAGGAGCATGATTACTGTAAAGCAAACAGATTATTCAAGGATATATGCAGCTAAAATTGAAATGATCTCTACAAAACTTTGACGGTCGCATTCCATTTAAACAGGAAACCCTTTCCAAGTTAAACACCTAAATTCACTTTCGGGTAGTTTGGTTTTAAAAGCTTTATTTTGAAAATGTTCCCTGTAAGAATTATATCTTCTAATAAGAACTTTGGATTTCTGTTTGAGGTTTCTATTAAAATGGTTGCCCTATTTTGTGTTTTCAATGATTTCCACATTAATTTTTTTTTGACAAAACCAAGCTTTTCACTTGCATACATCAATGAAATGATGATATATTTGTAATATAACGTAACCAATGAGCTATAAACAAGGATATTTAAATAGGACAATTATTCTCTGTGGACCATATCAAGAGTTTGGATTGGTGCATTTACCCAGGTATGCAAAATAGATACACTACCAAAAGTAATACCAACAGAAAGCAGTCAGTTCAGAGGAGGATTACATTTTATCGAGTAAAGTATAATTGAGTGTATTTAAGGAAGTTATATCCGCACTTTAATTTAAAAGACTTACAGTTGAAGTTTCAACTGACTTCTGGTATTGTATTGTATTAAAACTCAATTATTTACCTAGTTGCTTTCAAATTTTGAGATTTATACATTTTTTTAGTTGACTGGCAAGATGAAACAGATGAGTGGAAAGCCAGGAGAGGCAATTATAGAAGCTGCCATTGAAGAAAACGCGGACATGATCGTGGTAGGGACACGTGGTCTAGGTAAAGTTAAACGTACATTCCTTGGAAGTGTTAGTGACTATTGTGTACACCATTCTCCTGTTCCAGTTCTTGTGTGTAAAAGAGACCACCATAAGCATGATAAACATCATAAACAGCACAAGAATGATGATCACGCAGATGATGAACAGCGCGATGATAAAATTGATGATATACATTGACAGAATTGACATATTCTAATATCATACAAACATCTAATCCGCAATATAGACGAGCATGTTCATGTGTAGTTTAGTATATATTGCGTATCTTGTTTACTCTTACAAAAGTTATGCCCCATATTAACAAGTAAAGTTATGAATGAAAAATATACATATATCTAAAGTAACAATGTGTCATATTTTTCATTGAGACAATGTTATAATTTCACATATATAGTTAACATGCTCAAATAAATGCAATTCATTTTGTCTTCACACAAGGCGTAATTACAATATGGTATGTTTCCCAATGTCAACTAATATAAATCAGGCTAGACACTTTTAAAATTAAATCCTTATGAAAACGTGAAGTAAAGTGCCTTTAGAACTGCGCAATTATGGAACATAGATAGTATGTTGAAAGACCTAGAAATTTTCATCATGTGCAATTTTTGCACTTAGAGGACAATAACAACGTGTTTCCTCACATTTTCACCAACAAACCAATAAAGAAGTAAAATTCAACAAAAATCCAACGGGGAAAACATTAGGATTTAATATCCTTTTCTCATAAAAGTAGAAATGTCTTTTGTTTAAGACTATGCAAAGAAATAAATTTATTTTTGAGGATCGTTAAGGATCTAAATTTACGGGCTGTAAACAACATCATCGTAAATCTAGGATGTGATATCCCGTTTGTAATGAGTTTTCTAAAGGTACATACAACCAAACATCAAAACCAAATCTACAGCATCTATGAAATAATATTTTAAGCGTTTTAAGTAGTTTCTGTTAACGAAATCCCTGACTTAATATTAGCTAGTGATACATAAATGACGTCAACTGAAATCTATAAAGTCACTACAGACACCAGTATATCAAACGCGTTGTGATATATAAACACCGAAGGATGGGACCAAAGAAAATCCGCTGTCCAAAAAACGAAAATTTACATTAGGAAACAAAAAAATCGTAAATTTTTGTATAGAGTTTCCCTTGTGAACATTTACACACATGGTTTAAAACACAGTAAACAAAACAAAACAATCGAATTTTCTTATAACCTTTATATATAGTACACACAAAGTAAGGTATAATAATATATGATATAGCCTAGAAGGTTGCATTCAAATAGAAACAAAAGTTATTTACATTTACCTTACCTAAAGTGCATAAAACCCCACTTTGCCTAAAGTAGTATTTCTTAAATGTTTCTACACTAACCACACACACGACATATTTACTACACCTTTAATATTTGTCAATAAAATCTTTTTTAAGTACCCGTGACAGAAAGGAAATCAGTAAATAATAGTTATACTAGTATGCCTACATACAATGCATTTACATCATATTTACATGGAGGTTTCATTTTATATAATCTGATATAGTTGTAAGGCCTTGTATTTATAATTATTATAATAAAAAGAGCTATCTATATATAGTACGTTTTCTTACAAGATTAAATTCAAATGTTACCATTTAAGGTTTAAGCTTCCAAACTTTAATATAGTTAATGTTCATGGCAGTGCCTTCATCACCATCATCATCATCTTGATTATGATTCCATGTTGAATACCAAAAATCTCTTGCACTCCAGAAATCTCTTGTTGCAAAGTCTGATCGATCCTGCCAGGGCTTTGGATACGGATAGTTCAACCACTCGTCCTTAAAATGTGGATATCCACCCACACCCACGTCTAACACCAAGTAAAACTAAATGGAAATGAAATAACATATAATATAAGGAGCTCCTAAATAAGATTCCAACATCTGAATTCTGAATATGTTACATTTTCTGCATGACATTTATGCATTTTGTTTGCCATTTATTACAGCATTGATAAAAAACACTTACGAAAACAATATGCATAAATGTCATGCAGAAAATGTAATATTCAGCAGTAAGTTTGACACCGGGAGACGACAAAAACCGATCATAAGGTCAGATGAATCAGAGTGGACAAATTTATCCTCATGCATATAGTTGACAATTAAGGCAGATCAGAATCAGAGACCAGAAATATGCAAAAATAAAACCTTCCAAAAAGGTTTGATCCTTGAAATTATGAAATTTTAACTCCATAAAAATAAATTCTTTCCTACACTCAGTAACTACCTTAGCAAAAAACTGATATATTACCCCCTAGTCAGGCGGTGATGTAAAGGTATTGTAAAAAAAACGGATATCGTTTCTTTTTATGAAGTATACAGTTATAAGACAAAGGAAATCATATGAAATTAAGGAATTATAGCTCATAAACGTTTTTATCAGGTTTTGGGTTTACAAATATTTTGGAACCGAGCATCAATGAAGAGAAATGGTTGTCATTGGAGTACTAAAATATGTAACGTTTAATCTTATTCAAAGTCCAGGATCGAGGTTTTTGTTATAGACTCAAATACTGATGTTATTGTCTTATTGTTTTTAATGTTGATAAACACTTCATAATTTTGAACGAAATATTATTATGTCATCCTATTCACACACGCAGGAAGAATGTAACAGTAATTCGTACAAAATTATCAGATGCAGAAAGTTTTTTCTTACACTATAATCGCGTCTGAAGAATTTATCTTTAGTCTTCTACATTTAATACCGGAAATTTGAAATCTCATCATTTAGAAATAAACAATACAAACTCATGGCACATAAATTGGAACGGTAGTATTTCCTGGGCTATAGGGATAATGATAGCCTTTTGGAATTTTCATCACTTTATAACTCTGTCCCAGAACCTACATACACAGTTAACTGAAGTACTTTCATTATGATATTCAGAAATAAATGTAAATATGTATGATGACCGGTTTTTTTTCTGCAGTCTTTATAAATCTAATACCACTACTGTTTTGCAGCCTTTCATCATGCAGTGAATACAAAATTCAAAAAGAATTCTCAAAAGTTCATTTTCACCTGCATGTAAAATTATTTCATATTTTTCTACACCTGATTCATCCCTCGGCTTGGAAAAAATATGCTCAGTAGATGCTGTATTTTTTGTCCAATCACAAGTTTTTCAGATATATTGACCTAAGTAGAGTACACAAAATATCAACCTAGTTCCCGGAAGGTAAATACTACCCTAAGGCTTCTATCTAAACAGATTGACTTAAAAAGCAGCTAAGAGACAACTCTTTAGTGGAAGGAAAACCTTAGAATATTAAAATGTTTACATGTTTTTATGAACTGAAAATTAGGATATGTTTTCTTAAGGAAACCTACTAAGACGCTAAACGTAGAAAGCGGGATGTATTTTCATTTGAACGTATTAATATATATATATATTTATAACAGATTTGAATGCCATTGAGACAAATTCTATTCACTGAAAAAGCACAAATTTTCTTGTTAAAACACAACGATCGACAAATTATTTATGTTTTGGAGATTGTCTGTATTTCAAAAAGGTTCTTGTTGTGCGCGACTGTTACGCGACTTACTATTGTTCTCACATTAAGTTCAATTTATAAAAAAAACCTTCTTTAAGACAACTAGAAAACCTTAAGTATAATCTTGAATTTCCAATATAATACATTGTTTTTCTATTACTCAATCTTCTTCACAGTGAGCATTTGGAAAATTGGATGATTTAACCTACTAACTTAATGATTTCAATTTTTCTCTTGTCAACTTATTAATATTTTCGATATGCTATATAACACAAGTCTATCAATCGGCTTTTACGTATCGCATCATTTGGGTTGATGGTATACTCTGTGTAATAACTCATCAAGGTTTTGAAGAAAAACAACTTTATACCTTAAAAAGTCATACGATCGCCATCATCAATTGCAAGATCTATACTGTGTCGTGGGAATACTTGATTAATCACTTGTCCATGTTCATAGTTTTTTTATTGACTTTTTTAAGTTCTGGCAAGAAACGTTAAGTGTGTAGTAATTTAAACATTACAATGTATATAGAACCTTCAAAGTGTACATAAGTTATGTTGGAAAAAATATAGTCATTCCTTGGACCGGCATTCAAATCATTGCTGAAGTGGTGCGCGTTTGGCTATCCGGGGTGAATAAATACGCAGCGACTTTCGGTTGGAATGTTGATTTTAATACTGATGTAGAAAGGGGGGTCGCGTTAAAGAACCCTTGAAACAACTCTTTAAGGTGTCCGTAGTTGGCTTTTTAAAAGGCAAAATTGCTATCCTCTACCGACATGCCTTCATTTTCCAATGCAGTCAAAATTGATAATTTTTTTTCTCATCTTGAATAGAAATGAAATATTTGCACCTGGGCGTTTAACAAAACAAAAAAATCAATCAATCAACCAATCAACCAAAGCGTAAATGGTATGAATAAAATATAAATTATAATTGATTTCCATCAAAAATTGATACGGCTTAGCTGGTCTCGTGATCTCCTAGAGTGCGGTTTCGACCCCCCAGTCGGGTTAACCCAAAGAATTCAAAATTAGTATTTGCTAATCCTCCGATAAGCACGCTATATTTAAGAGTAAAAGCTAAGACTGGACGGCTCGAAGTAAGAATGATATCGTCGTGTGAATCTTATAATGATGGATTTCCCATTTGATAATAGTGGTAAAAATTTTGATTTAAGTTTAAAAGCTCAATATCACAAATATTTATCCGAGACATAATAGGAATCCAATATTCGTTCATGAAAAGTAACTCTTTGTTCAATTGTTTTTTAATAGATAAGCAACGTAGATAAATAAAGCGTCCCCTTTTTTGGAGAAAGAACATTTCACTACAAACAATGTAGTTTTATAAATTTATCTCTATATTTCCATTGGAGATAGACCATGGATTTTTTAACTTTGTAATATCCCCAATTCTTGAACCGCCGGATTTGCTTAGAATTGCTCATAGATTGAGTTCAACCATCCAAACCATTTAATCAAAGTACTACTAAGTTAATTTTTATAACAATTATTTAACGGCAAAAATAATTGAGAAATAATGGAGATACAACACTATAAAAATATTTTTCTCTGAACTAACTAGATGAATAAACCATTAACATGCAATGGAAGTGTGGAGATAGAACAGTGTAGTTTTGACAAAAACTCGTAGAGTGTAGAAATATCGTATTATAGTTGTACAAGGAGTTAAAACATTGCACTTGGATCTCAAATATATTGCTATCTCCATTTTTATCAAAAGTGGACATATGATACTATAAGATTCACACGACGATATGTCTGGTAGAGTGACATGTCTTCATGCGGACTGTTACCTTGTGAACTAGCACGTTGAAAATCTGACTCAGCGTGTCGGTCTAGTACAAAGCAGGGTTCATATTCATATCACATAAGAATGATCTCGTCCTGCATAAGCATGTAGTTTGGCACGTTAAACAACCATCCATCATTGTAATCATAAACATCAAATATTGATAATTTGAAATTACGTAAAGCTATTAAAGATGTCATCAGGAAAGATAAGGTGGTATAAAAAGATATGAAAAATATTTATGGAGTATAAAAGAAGAACAGGTAATACAATCCCAGGTAGAGAAACGCACGTTTGTTGTGCAATTATAAGTCTGGTATCTTTGATGAGTTTTTACAAAAACTGATAACTGAATAATCACATATATTCCTTTTCTTCAATATTAGAAAAAAACATAATTTTGGCATCATTCAATATGATTGTAAGACAAGAAAATGTCAAGGATCAAACTAATTTTAGTAAAAAAAGGGACATTTTGACAACCATGGAATTGATGCATATTTATACTTGTACCTCTTGGTCGAACGGTGCCATTTTCGTGCCACCACATGTTTTTTGCCACGGGTTTGTCAATCCATATGTTTTGTTGAATTCTCCAATTCCCCAAAAACCTCTATCACTTGGTTGGACTTTTAAAATCTCTTCACCATCTACCTCAAACCTTAAAAATTAAGCAAATCACAAAGTTCTAAATATATAGCTTCACAACTGTTTATCGGTATCATTTACCAAGTCGACAAAGCAATATCAGCTATCAGTGTCATCTTTATAAAAATATGAAGATGTGGTATGCTTGCCATTGAGACAACTATTTAAATGAAGTGGATGTAGCAATTATAGGCAACCGTGCGTACTTTAACAATGAGAAAAACCCATACCGTATGTCGGCTATAAAAGGCTCCGACATGAAAAATGCGAAACACTTCAAACGAGATAACCAAGTTTTTTTCTTGTTCTCTTTTACTCGAAGAATCGCATAATTGATTTTTTACAACACAACAGTTAACTTCAAAGAATTTTAGTCGGATATATTTCAAGTTTCCCGAATACATTTTAAAACCAATTTTGTTTAACTTGTATAAAATATCCTTTAATATAAATTAAGGAAAACATTGGATACTTTCTGATTTTTAAATTTAGTGTATTAAATACCACAAAACCATTCTAAAGACATAGATAACTTGTATGTATAAATCATTATCAGATACGTTTGGGACTGAAACTTTGGCAGAAAATAAAAATACAAATCATTTAAGGTTATAAATACAAATAAGATCTAAAAAAAAACTAAGAACCATATTTGATCAATTTTGCTTAAGGGAATTTCAACCTTAATTTAACGCAACATAGTTAACTAAATGTTTATAGACACACTAGAGTTTATTTTGCAAATTCGTTTGTGTTTTTTTTAATAATACAGATGTATATACTGAATATTATTTCTTTGTTCAAGATATAGTCATAACGTTCTGATACCTGATGTCCTGCTCGTTCCACTCCACTGCAAATTTATGAAATCTGTCAGCAAATGTTTCTGATGTTAAGAATCTACAAATCAAATACCATTTTTTATCTTAAAAATAGCCCATCATCATTATTACTAGTATTCTAAGCTTTCTTTTTTTACTTGTTGTGTTAATTCGATGGAAAAGAAGTAATTTTGTGTAATAATTCATGGGGCAAAATCCTATACAAACTTTACAAACGCAAAGCCAAAAAGCACAACGCTGTTATTGCTGTTTTTCATCTCAAAGCCATAAAGAAATTTTAACAAAGAACAAAATCTCGCACCTCAGTGTATATTGGAACACACTCCCAGTCCACAGTACCAGTTTGGTATGGAAAGCCAACGGGGTCGAAATTCTTAATTCGTAAATAGTCAATTTGTAACTTGTATCTTTGTAATTTCAAAATTCTTAATTCGTAAATTATCAATTTGTAAATCTTTGTAATTTCAATATTCTTAATTCGTTAATTGTCAATTTGTAACTTGTAACTGTGAGATTTCAAAATTCTGTATTGGTAAATTGTCAATATGTATATTGATGCTTTGTAACATGTGGCGTTTTGTTCGAGAACGGAAACTATATAAAAATGCAACCCGAATAGTTTAGTCCCTCCACGTAATCGATCTCTCCTATCTGCGAGGTTAATGAAGTAGTCGTAGATCAGCGGAATATAACCACTGAATTATTCGGGTAAATAGATATATTACTTTTATAAATTTTGACTTGGATTGAGGGTTGTCTCATTGGCACTCATACCACATCTTTTTATATCTATATGAGGAGATGTGGTAATAAACCGTATGATTGCTAATGAGACAACTATCCACCAAAGTTCTAATAAAGCCGATGTAAGCAATTATAGGCAACGTACGGCATTCAACAATATGAAAAACCTATACCATATAGTCGGCTATAAAAGGCTACATCATTACTGGAAAACCCAGGTAATAAACGGTGTCTATTAATCCTAAAATGTTATTATCGGACCATTTTATTCTGACTGAGGGTGAAGGGCTGACAGATATATATATATATATATTATTATCATACCTCCTATAGATTTATACAGATATGATTGGTTAAAGGACTACACGTGGTGACTATGTATATTTGAGATAGGGTGTCCTAAAAAAAATGGTTAGCAATCATACATGGTTAATTACCATATGGGGTTAGTAAGGAGTTACTTCCCTTTCAAAACAAAAATGATGCCACAACCCTTCATAAAAACAACACGGTGTTGAGGAAAAATCTGAAAGGATTCAACAGACGAAGAAATTGATGATGAAAGGTTGAAATAAGTTCATAAAACATAATTAAAGCTAACAAGTTGTTATTGTTGGCATAACGTGGTTACTTTCCTTTCAAAACAAAAATAGAAATCTGAAAGGATTCAACAGACGAAGTAATTACAATACATGAAATAAAAGATTGAAATTAATTCATAAAACAAATTTATAGCTTAAAAGTAGCTATTGTTGGCATTTGTTTTCTGTAAACACAAATGGAAGTAGGATCTTAATACTAAGTATTGAAGACTTGATCACTTTGATAGGCCGCTAGTCAAAATACAACATGTGAACATAGTCGGTACGATAAGTTCGTTACACGGTGTGCTAGTGACCTAATACGATATATATGGGGTCAGTAAATTCCATATGGGGATTCGAGCTTCGCTCTCACCCCATATGGAATTTACTGACCCCATATATATCGTATTAGGTCGCTAACACATTATGTAACTAATACTGTACATGCCGACAAAACTTTTCTGGTCAAGAAGCTTAAGAATTGCCGTTTCCTGATTTTTCGTTCTATAAAAATTTACAATACAAAAAGACCAAATATTCTCATTTCCTCCCTCTCAACTCTTGCTTAATGCGCTGTACTCCCGATACCCACCGCCGTGCCACCCCTCCTTAGCCTGACGACCTGATTCAATAAAATACTTCGTCGATCGGGTTGATTCACGATGTTAATCAATAACGTTTTTATTATATAAGCTAAATTTTCGAAATTTGAATTTCATACGAAATAAAAAAATAAAAATAATTTGCAATAAATTCGTAACAATATAAATATTTCCCGCCCGATGATATGTCAAGAAATGACGCCATCCCATGATGCATCATTTTAAAATCCAATTGACGAAACCATGTTGTTGTATTCCGCCTGGCTACCCCCTCCGCACAGTTTGCCACCATTTTACTCTCCAAAATGATCTCTGACAGACCCCCTGCCAAACCCCAAATCATGCACAAAGATTTTCATGGAGAAATAAAATTAGGGTAAACAGATTGGAGATAATTGCTTCTGTCATGCAAATGGCGAGATCTTCTCTCTGACAAGTCAAAGGGATAGGGTGTCACTTTGGTTAAAAGTGGGTACAGGTGTGCAATAAAAAAGAAACAGTTTCATAGTTTTACGATCATGGTCATTGACAAAATATCCAGAGGGGACACCTCCTAGTATATGTCGATCCAGTACGATGATCATTCTAGATCTGTATCTGTATCTGTAGGAATACGTGGTGGATACAACTACTGGCTTTAATACAATGGTATAGAGAGCGCCGTCGAATTATTGACGGTGCACGAGAGCAGTTTCTGAACTTCGCTATCAACGCTCGATGTGCGCACTACAGTGTCTTCAAGGTGGTTCCACTCGATTACTGTTTTTACGAAAAATGAGTGAGAATATTGTGGTATTTTGCTATTTGAAATCTCAGAACACTTTATGAAGTTCTTAACCTGTTTTTCCACAATATTTATTGACTGAAAATTGTCAAGTCATTAGATAATTAAATTCTTTCCAAAAATTTTAACATTGAAATTATGATACTAAGGAATATTAGGTGTCAACCCATTTCTCCCATCATATATTTAGTCCAAAATTTGCGACCCAGAAAAATATTAGTATGAATTTTCCAGCTCATGCAGTCTTATATTTCATGTATTTAGTATAATTTTGACCCGGTCAAATATTAAGAAATTTCCTGCCAAGTGACAGTAATATATTTGCGAAGTTGATAAGGGAGCCCATTTCAGCGACACATCTGTATTTACCTTAATACAGGAAGTGACACAACCCCTTCCAGGTATGGAGAACACTACAGTAGACATACATGTTTATTCGATGTCACCTCTATATATAACCGAGTCCCTGGTATATATGCCATATCAAACAAAAAATTTATTTATCTATTTATTTTCTTTTATATGTATGTGCTGTACCTAACTGATTTAAATTACCTAGGTATATACTCAATATGGAGGTGCTCCTACTTACACGAGGCATATACGCCAAAGAAGAAACCGAGCGCAATCTGTCGTCATAATGATCGTTAGCATAATACAACGATGACATTTAACAAATCGACATTTAACGAATCGACATGTTACAAGTTACAAAACATCAATATACAAATTGACAATTTACCAATAAAGAATTTTGAAATCACACAGTTACAAGTTACAAATTGACAATTTACGAATTAAGAATTTTCAAATTACAAAGATACGTACAAGTTACAAATTGACAATTTACGAATTAAGAATTTTGAAATTTCACAGTTTAGTTACAAGTTACAAATTATCAATTTACAAATTAAGAATTCTAAAATTACACAGTTACAAGTTACAAATTGACATTTTACGAATTAAGAATTTTGACCCCGTTGGCTTTCCATAGTTTGGACGTATTATTTTTGTAGAAACGCTATAACTGTGGATTTAAATACACCGATGTAAGATTACATCAACAGATCATAAACAATAGCGTGCAAAGGAATCATAACTAAAACTGTCATAATTTGTCAAAAAATCGGAATGTTAAATACTGAATCGATACAAACATTACGACAACCGCGGGTCAAATCAAGATGTATGTTAAATAATCTGGTAGGATGTGAATAGAGCAACTAATTCGATATACTGCATATCGATTTCGATAAACATGCAAATTAAAAGAGAGAAGTTTTCTTAAGAATGACTACGACATACAAATTTTACGGACGCCATCACGAGTTGGCTGACTGTTTTAGCACATACTTACAACTTCTCGTCCAATCAAATTGCTTTAATTTGCCTTTTAAGTTTCATAGTACATACCTTTTCCGTGTACTAAGTAACTATGCGCGAATGACCACAAGGATAAAAGAGGGACGAAAGATACCAGAGGGACAGTCAAGATACCATTGTATCGTAATCAAGATATTAAAAACAAAAATTGCCACAAGCTATTTTTGAATAAAATGTTGTGTCCTAAAATTAAAAAAAGTGGTTGGAAGTAGTTTTCACATTGATTTTTATATATCCTGCTATTAAAATTTTTGGTTCTAAAAATATTTTTGACAATTGAAAGTTTCTATTATTTAGACGAAGAATAAAAATTAATAAAAAAGTTGCATCGAGCATTACTGAAGAGACAACAATTGGCGAAATGCGCATTTGGTGCAGCAAATTTGTACTGTTTAATGTTATAATGGTGAAAAAACTAATGGATTTAGTAGCATCTTTTGATTTCAAATTTTGTGTATCTGTATTCAAAAACAATGCAAAAATACTTCGCAGCGCTATTGCCGCAACATTTCATTGAACCATCCTTGTACAAGTGACAAATGAGCCTTGATATTAATCTTTTTATCATTTGTGTGTCAGTTGCCACAAGTTTTGTAGTTATCGCAATAAACACCGTTTAGTTGTATATGTCGATGTTAGAAAAGTTCGCTAAACAACCCAGCCAAAGTAGCCTTCCTTCTGGGAAAATTAATACTTAGATGTTGTAATTTACACACATTTGGTATTTTTGTTGTTGTAGAACTTACATAGTATTGAATGTAAAAAACATACAAACAAATTAACTAAACAAACTGAAACCATAAGGTCTCGGAAGTAATAAAATTCAAGCAGCTTATTTGAAAAAAAAAAATCCCAATCCAACTACATGCAATAAGAAATGCAACTTTAATCACAAACTCAAGGCTTGCCAACAATGATGATACGTTTTGTCAAGAGGCATGATTGCGTTTTTTTTAATGCAGGACTAGCAGTAAAAGCAAATTTGATATCAAACCATAATTTTACAACTAATGAGTGACATACAATTACCGAATCACACGTTGTTTGTCAAAACAATGTCCCAGCAATAAGGTATAAATCAGCGAGAAATGAAACTCATGTAAATAATCCGTTTATACTTACTTATCTGCTTGAGCCTTTGCTACTCCATCGTACTGTTTGCTTGGTCCATAGTGAAGAGAACTGCTCATACTATTTATACCTATGTTTTTACCTCTCTTGTCCGTGTAATTTGTATTACCTATTTATCAATTGAAAAGATAAGTACTTGATTGCAAATAGCAAGACAAAACCAACATAAAAGAGATTAAAAAGATTGAAATACACACTGAAAGTTAAAAAATATGAATTACACAGTTACACACTAAAAAATAAGAATTACACAGTTACACACTAAAATAAAAATTATACACCAACATCAAATAATGAAAAACACTCTGAGAATTAGGTCTCGATGTATAATTGATTACATATAGACAGTAAATAAGCTAAAAGCGTTCTTGACCTCTAGGGTACAAAGGTTCAAATTGGTCGCTCACAATTACCCTTATGTACCTTTGGGTCTACATTTAACCTCAGATTATTATCATAACCCATCTTTATTATGCTAATTAGCTATTTGCGTATGAAATGTTCGCACAAAACTCAGTGTATTATTTTTTATGGTCAGTGTGTTTTTTTTTTCATTTTTTTAATCTCAAAGTGTAATTTTTTATTCTTGCTGTATATTTTTTGAACTTTTTAAATTTCAGTGTGTTTTGATTGAACTAATAATGAAATTTGTCATTCTAACTAAGTGTGATTTGGGTTTTCTTTTTTATCTCAGTATGTTACTTTTTCGAAATATATTTTCAACATAATTTTGTGCCATAGAAGAGAGGTGAAAGATATCATAGGGATATTCAAACTTATAAGTCAAAAGCAAATTGACAACGCCATGGCTAAAAACGAAAAACGAAAAAAACATTATGCATAACACTTCATAGAAAACTAAAGCCTTAGCAAAATAACCCCACCAAACCCAATGTAATCGAAATCTGCGGGTAACAAATATACAGAAAAAAAAATAACAAATTAAAATATAAAAATGTTAACCTTCAGTTTATGTTTTAAGTACATATTTTGCATGATACTATATGTTTAGTAGCAATGAAATTTGGCTCGATTCTTACCTCTTGTTTCAACAATATCAATTTCTCCTGACGTTGGCCAATCTCCATAAGTATTCGATAAGGGTAACAATTTAATACCTATTTAGAGATGATAAAGTATGCTTTTTATCAAGAAAGGAATAACATAAATGTGGCAAATAGAAAAATAAACATAGAATAAAGCATGGTATTTCTACCTTTGATATTCGAAAGTTGAAATTTACGATTCACCTTTTGAAATAATTTGATTATGAATTTTCAAACCCTACTGTTTACTTTCTTTGGAAATATTCAAAAATAATGTTTCCCTTCTAAAACTAACCTTTTCACCTGATGATCTACATATGTAACTATTATGTGCAATGATTTATCAGTCGAGTGTGACTGTTTGTACCTATGGTTTTAAAGCTGTCTTTTGTTTACTTAGGAATGTTTACTGCTCAATTTCAAAATGAAAAGAGCTCTACTAGTTTTTATAATTATTTCAATAGAAATGGTCGAATAAATAGGTCCAATGGCAATGGTATAGCTATTCCTGGATGCACAATATAAACATATGGTATAAATGATTTTTGCAAAATTACTAGGAGTTTTTGAATTGGAACCAATACCTTTTTAAAATTTATACATTGTTAGATTATTGGTTGTGGTAAAATTTGATCATTCACCCAAAAACTTACTTTTTGGTCAATTGTGACAATTCAGTGTGATTTATACTTGTTGATATTTGTTTTAGATGTATTTTGAATTACCAATTTAAAAAGTAGGAAATATAACACATTTTCTAGGAGACCAAAAAGGAAATATCTCATGTAGTACCCACCAGCAAATATCCAATCTCCTTTTGGCATTTTGGCCTCAACTTCAACTCTTCCATATTTCATTGTAAATCCATTTTTGCTCTTCAAACGTGCAGATCTAATTGGATTTATTGGATGTAAAGTAGATCCCTTTCTTCGGCAACCATAGTATGCATTTGTGGTGCATCCTTCAGCTTTAAATGTCAAATTAGCGAAAAAGCTGTTAAAACGGATGAATTCAAGTATTCTGCATTTAAGCAAATATTAAAATGTGCACTCATTTAAACACCAACTTCAGCGTTGGCCAGACAATTTCCAACAAAAGTATGTACAAAATATGTTACTTCCTTAAGAAATTATTCGAACTATTTGAAGCTTACGGTCACAAGCATTCCTTCTTTAGCATTATAAAAAAAGAATTTTCATGTAGAAGCAAGGATGAACACAGACAAGACAATCATATTTTTGCGTTTTTCTAGCACTGGATCGACACCGCTGCTGTTGGACTGTAGGTCCCAATGGTGTCATCAGTAGTCACTGACATGATTTATATAACACACGTTTTCGTTGATTGATTTAGAAAATATTAAGAAACTAAGTTTCCACCTCTAAGGCAAAGTTGACCTTAGATGAAATTGGCTATAACTTTTAGGTCACTTATTAGTCATATACACGTGTTTGGGTACGTACTTAGACATCTTTGAATTTCAAATGGTTGGGTTCTTTTAGCATTCCTGATGAAGTAAATTAATAAAAGCGCTTCGTACACACGAGATTCATCAAGTTTTATTTTCGATTGAACTTTTTGATAACTTACGAATACGACTTGGCCGTTTTAAACTATGTATAATCAATGCCCAACACAACAAAACAGTCAATTTCGCTTGGACATAAAACGCACGTACAAGCATTTGATTTCGCGTTTGGTTTGTGTAAATAGTTTTTTTTTAAATAAGACAGGTTAATTTAGATTTCAGCGTTCCTGATGAATGTAAATCAGAATAAGTGCTTCGGACTCACGACATTTATAGATATCAAAACAGTTGAACAGCTAAATGACTAAATGGGCATAAAATAATAGCCAAAGCCATCTTATGTCAACTTTGCGTGAGAGAGTTGGAACCATAGTTTCTTAATCCTTTCTTAATTTATTAACGGATAATTTTAGAAAGGTGTGATTTAAATCATGACATTAACAAACATTGACTTTTGAGCTAATAAAACCCTCGGGGGTTATAGTCATACAGCATAGGCACCGACCCAGAGCTATCAAAAAAGAAAATACTACTTTATACATTTGATGCGTCCGAAGCGCTTTTCTTAATTTACCTTCATCAGGAACCCTTAAAGCCAAAAATTAAAAGCAAAGGCTGTATAAATACCGAAACACTTAAGGTGTCATTTTCATTTTCCTGCACTGGGTCGGAATCATCAGCTCAGTAGTATGTGCTTCGGTACTGAAATAATTTATAACCAACTTTTCTAAAGTTTCCCGTTGATAAATTCGGAACTTTTTAGGAAACTTAGGTTCAAACTCTTCAGGCAAAGTTACCCTTAGATGAATATCGCTATTGTTTATGTCCTTTTTCATATAGGTCCTAACGTTTCTACGTATTTTTAAATCACTGGCCTTCAAATGTTTAGGTTTTAGCTTTCCTGATGGAGGTAAAACAGGAAAGCGCTTCGGACGCATGCAATTCATAAATTGTTATTTTTATTTACTAGTACTGGGTCGATACCACTACTGGTGGACTGTTAGTTCTCGATGTTATTATCAGATCAGTAGTCAGTGCTTTGGTATTGATATAATTTATAACCTTCGTTTGTAAAAATTTCCGTTGATGAATTGAAAAATTATCATGAAACTAAGTCCCAACTTCCTCAGGCAAAATTGACCTATAAGGAATTTGGCTATTCTTTTAAGTCCTTTTGGTCATATACCTTTTTGAGATAATTGAACGTTTGCATTGAATTTTACCAGGTAATCACTGGTAATGGGATGTGAAGAGATCGTTAAAAATATCAAATATATATATAAATATATAACCATTCAGTGGCAACAACTCAACGATTTACCTATTGTAACACGATTTATAAGGCAATGTAACTGTTAGCTTAGTGCATAAGAGTTTACCCGTGGTTTTATATAGGGAGTTCGTACTTCTCAATCTTTGTTTTTTCAAACATGCTTTATGTTCAGTTTCTTCTATACATTTTTTTCTTTTGCCATAGCATGTCTGTCCTTCCTCTGATTCGTTTTCATTGATCTTTAAGTATTTTCCTATATAATAGTGCACATGACTTAAATTGATAAACAGAGAATCATTTCGCAAACGGGAAAAATTTTGCCTAATTTCAGAGAAATCATAGTGCTCTCTATCTATCTATCTCTTTCTTTCTCAAACACGTATACGTGACGTATCTAGTATATATATATATAATTCGTCTCAAATTTATCCCAACAATGTTAGATCTTCACGTTTGCGTAAGCAAATTTTTGTTCTTCCCTCAGCGGAATTCGAACCCTTGCGTCTGTGACATCGTGGGAACACCGCTTGCATTGTGTCCAGCGCCAAAGAACACTCGACCACCTAGGCTACATAAAAATATAGCTTTCGGTGGTTGATGTGATGCCTGTCCTTGTCGGCTTTAAAGGTGGGAGGTTTGGCTAGCCATAAAAAACCAGGTTCAACCCACCATTTGTTTCTTAAAAATGTCCTGTACCAAGTCAGGAAAATGGCAATTGTTATCGTATAGTTTGTTTCTATGTGTGTTGCATTGTCGTTTGTTGTTTGTTCACTTCAGTGTTTCTGTTGTTTCGTTGTCCAAATGTACTATATTGTATTGTTTATTTGCGTTAGCCCAAAAGCGTTGCTTAAAAGTGGCGTTAAAACACCAAAAAATCATAATCAAATTTATTTGCGTAATTCTCTGTCCGTAATGTTGTACTGTATTCATGTCATGTAATGGTGTCATTTTAGTGTTATATTTAACATTGCCATAAAAGTGCGAGGTTTGGTTAGCCACACAACCATGTTCAACCCACCATTTATTTTCTTAAAATGTCCTGTACCAAGTCAGGAAAATGCCATTGTTATATTATAGTTCGTTTCTGTGTGTGTAACATTTTAATGTTGTGTTTCTGTTGTGTCGTAGTTCTCCTCTTATATTTGATGTGTTTCCCTCAGTTTTAGTTTGTAACCCGGATTTGTTTTTTTCTCAATCGATTTATGAATTTCGAACAGCGGTATACTACTGTTGCCTTTATTTATCTAGGGTTATAACACAGTACATTATGTATAGTGGCAAGAAGATGGTGTATCTTTTATATCAGCTCTTTTGTCTGTCGTAAAGAATGATAATGTTAATTACCATGCCGCCACATCAAATTTTAAAAACATGTGACAACTTTATGACAGAAATTCTTCATCGGATAACACTTGGTTATACAGGGCTAACACCATATATATATATAATTCGTCTCAAATTTAGCCCAATAGTTATTCTTCCCTCAGCGGGATTCGAACCATATATAGTAAAAACATTGACACTGACGAAGGATATTTGTCCTGCCGAAATATTTGCAAACACGATTTTATAACATCTTTTTCGTATATTACCATCCTATATTAGTACGCGCAAATCTTAAGACTTTTGTCATTGATTTCCTTGTCTGCGCAGTATCGCCTATTTAGACGATCTGGAACATAAACACCTTTATAAAAAAAACAGTAAATACAATTATCAATAATATATAGATATATATACTCGCCCAAATTAAATTTGGCATGGTCTTACCCCATAAGTCCAGAACTCCTGTCGTTAAAAATTCCTCGCCATACTTTTCTGTTGTTAAGGTCTGTTTCAGTAAATCAAAGTAAAAGAAAACTCTATGAAATTGATCTACTTCAAACGAATATTGACGCAAAATGAAAATATAACTAGTTACCGAAATGAGACATGCTTCCGAGAAATTATTTTGTTTAGAAATGCATTAACTAGTTTTAGATATATACAATATCTTTATATTTATCTTTATACTCTTTCATCTAATATTCAATTTCTGTTCCCACACTCAATCCCTCACTTACCGGTTTAATGTACAACTTTCCTTGCTTAACATATGAGTTGGATCGGTCACTATTGTAGTACTCGAATTCTGAATTCTGAAAAATGGAAATTTGTTCAAGTATATTTCTCCCTTCAATACGAAGATTAAGCCACTTAAGGTTTCAAGACGTCTTTTTATGTTGTAATGTTACACTACTGTCTCAGGTTAGGGTGAAGGTTGGCGCCTGTTAAAAAGTTAAAACCCGCTGCATTTTTAAGCACCTGTCCTAAGTCAGGAGCCTGTTGTTCAGTGGTTGTCGTTTGTTGGTGTGGTCCATATGTGTTTCTCGTTTCTCGTTTTTTATATAGATTAGACCGTTGGTTTTCCTGTTTGAATTGTCTTACACTAGTCATTTTGGGGCACTTAATAGCTTGCTGTTCGGTGTGAGCCAAGGCTCCGTGTTGAAGGCCGTACTTTGACTTATAATTGTTATACATTGTTACTTGGATGGAGAGTTGTCTCATTGGCACTCATACCACATCTTCTTATTTATATAAATCAATACGTAGACTATTTAGGATTGTATAAAGTCTGTTTAACAAAAAGAAGGTTGTTGTCATCAAATCAATATGTCACTATTTTAAGTTAAATTTATGTCGATATAGCATTGTATCAATTTAATAAACATGACCTCCTAACAGGTTTAAGTAAACGAGAGCAAATTTCTCATACTTTACTATAAACCCGTTACCAGTTAGTGGCGATGAAAAGCCATAACTGTTATCAATGTTGGTTAGTATAGTCAATAAAAGCACTAACAATACTTCAAAAACATTTAATGAAATGTTGATTCATTTACAATTTAGATATTACCGTTAAGTCTTAAACAATAAGCACATTTACACAACAAAAAAGAGGCTGCGAAATAGGTTTGGATAAATTGTACAATATTACATCTCTTAGAAGAAAAAGTCACGAGAATGTTATCTTCTACAGCATTTAGTAGGGGAGGGGGTCTATTTTTTCTTTAAACTATATTCACACTAATTTTCCATACTGATTGCAAGCGATAATAGTTGAAGACTATATAATACTTTTGAAATATTTCCGCTTTTTCATATCCCCTTTTGCTTTCTATGTCCAATTCTGCAATTTGAAGCATTCATAGCTATTTTGTTTGTTTCAACAAAGAGTAGTCATTTCATGTCAAAACTTTACCTTATCCTTTCTAGTTCTGAAATATTAAACAGACCTTTATTTGCATGTAAGACCGCGCTTGTTCCCGAAAATTTGTTACTGCTGTTTTGAGAAACAGGTAAAGTGTGCCCTTCTATTTAAATTATTTTCTTTTTTCACTATTCAAAAGAAACTTTCAACACGGGTCCTGCAATAGTGATCCAAAGTCCTTAAGCTTTCGTTTGATTTAAAAATTATACAAACACGTTACTTGTTTGCAAGTTACAGTTATGTGTAGGACTTATTTTGTTTACAATATGTATTAATTTCTTGTTTGTTCTTTCTTACAGGGTCCGAACTAGTGGTTCTATATCTATAACAGAACCAACCTCTGCTTTAATAAATTTCATTCTACGATATATTCGTGCAAGAAAAAAACACATTAAGCTTTCGTTCAAATACTATTTTACTGAATTCAAGCTCAAATTGGACTAGTTGTAACATATACGTTATACAAAGAAAACTGCATGTGGATATTGATAGTGACCAATATGATACGTTTTCCATTATAACCAGTTCTAATTTGTTAATGTCTACTAACATAACAATGTTCTTTCCTACTTGTATTTTTTTATCAGAGATTATTCTTTGAATAAAAATATAGTAGTCCAAACATAAGATTTAGTCGATAACTTTGTTTCTCCTTTTTTTTCTGAAAATTGGGAAAAGGGTATTTTTTGTAACAGCTATTATATAACACTTTTTACTACTTATAGTTGAGAGCATTTCTTTTGTTGTACTGTTACAGTCCCAGGTAAGGTGAAGGTTTTGGGAGCAGTTCCGCTGGGTCTCAGAAACAACATTATATTGCTCGATCTTAGAAACAACGTTACATTGCTGGTTATTCCAAGTACTCCCAAAACCTCTTTCTAAGTTATTAGCATCAATGTTATCAGCAACCAAAGCCGAGCTTCAGAGTTATAATGTAACTACCTGAATCAAATATGGATGAAAAAAAAAATTCTAAAGATCTGTTAGAGTACACACATTCTAAGTTTCGTTTCTCCTCAGTGGGAAATTTAGTGTCAACATATTAACTCCCCTGTAAACACTGAAAACTTTATCATTTCATTGTTTGTTCTGTTTTAGAAAGGCCGCTTTTAATTATAAATTCACAAGAATGCCAATTATCCGTATATCTATGCAGCTAGATCAGAAAAATGCAGAGGAAAAGTTCAAAAGGATATACAGCAAAGATGAAAATAAGTTACTAAGCTGATTCAAACAGATGTTTATCCTGATGTAACGGATAATCTACTTTGTAAAAATATTTATCTTAATTTTTCAAACCTGCACAGACACAACTTTTAAATTGTTATATTCAAGAGAAGACTGTATTTCTAAATGAAAAGTTGACGTGAAAAGAGCAGACCGTTGTATTCGAAAACTTAGATGTACAAAAAAGTATAATGTTGGGAAATTGTAACATGCTAAGGACTATGTGGAACACTTCGAAATTGGTGACATGAAATATCTTGATGACCTGAAAGATTTTGCATGTTTTTTTTCCATTTTTTTTTTTTTTTTTTTTTTTTTGTAGCAAAGATTAATATATTTCAAATTTCAGTTTCACAAGCTTCTAATGTAATTATCTCGATAAATAATGAGCATAAGACATCGTATTTTTTATTTATATTTCGAATAACACAATTCACAGTTTAACAAATCATTTCTTTAAAATGAATAGTGTTGTTTAGACATAGCTTATAATTACATGTAGTATCGTCACCGGCATTGTTTCAATATTGATTTTCTCGACTTTTTCATGAGAAGAGAGACTTTTATATTGTTCTCGAGTCATCGATTTCGCCACTGCACTTACAATAGTATAAATATATTTCACTTTTCTACCCTTTACACGAGTATTCCCCTTTCCAACCCAAAAGACAAATTGAAAGAATTAGTCCTGCTTTGTTTCCTAAAAAACGAATGACCAACGTAGATACAAATATCTTGTCTTAGGTAGGGATGAATCATACTTTGTAAAAAAAACCAATCTGATTCAAACAAAAAAATATCAAAACTGATTTTATCAAAATGCTTGATTTCTTAAAAGACAACATGTTTGTTACATTCGGTGAACGTGTTTTGAAATATACAATTGGCATTTCCTTGGGAATCAACTGTGTTCCTCTTCTTACCGTCTTTTTCCTTTAATCATATGAAACAGACTTCATACAAGGTCTTCTAATAGAGAAAGATAAAAGGCTAGCATTATTTCTTAAGTTTACGTTCCGCTAAATAGATGATGTCCACTCATTGAACAGTTCAAGGTTTTGTGACTCTGTTAACCGCATTTATCCCATCGAATTTGAACTAAAGGATAAAACAGATACAGTTAAGTGTGTCTCGTACCTTGACTTACATCTATAAATTGACAATAAGGGTCGGTTGAGAACAAAACTTTACGGCAAAAGTGATGATTTCAGCTGATAAAACCAAAAGTTCCAAGTGGGGAATATTTTACGGATGCGATCACAAGTTAGTTGACCGTTATGGATTATATGTTTCACAGATGACGACGGATATGTTCCAATTGTTGTAACTACAATCCTGTCGTCCCTTCCTCGAATGTGATCTATTGAATTAGACTTGTTACCAGGTTTTTACTTACACGATCAACTTGACGAGTGCCACATATAGAGTAGAATCTGCTTACTCTTCCGGAGCACCTGAGATCACCTCCGCTTTTGAAACATAAGTGTTTAGTTTTCTATGTTGTGTTTTGTTGACTGTTTTTATCTTTTTGTCATGAATAAAGGTAACAGTAGTATACTGCTGTTCGAAATTCATAAATCGATTGAGAAAAAAACAAATCCGGGCTACAAACTAAAACTGAGGGAAACACATCAAATATAAGAGAACTACGACACAACAGAAACACAACATTAAAATGTAACACACACAGAAACGAACTATAATATAACAATGGCCATTTTCCTGACTTGGTACAGGACATTTTAAGAAAAAAATGGTGGGTTGAACCTGGTTTTGTGGCAATGTTAAATATAACATTAAAATGACAACATTACATGACAGGACTACAATACAAATAAATGGGAGAACATATAGGACAGAGAAACATACGAATAATAGCTACGAAAAGGTACCAGGTTTAAAATTTAATACACAAGACGCGCGTTTCGTCCACACAAGACTAACCAGTGACGCTCAGATCAAAAAAGTACGAAAGCCAAAACAAGTACAAAGTTGAAGAGCATTGAGGACCAAAAGTTCCAAAAAGTTGTGCCAAATACGGCTTAGGTTATATGTCTGGGATAAGCAAATCCATAGTATTTAGAATAATTCATACTTTTGTATACAGTAAATTTATAAAAATGACTATATAATGGATAAACATGATAACACCGAACTGGTGACTAACTACAGAATAAAAACGGATACATAAAACAACATAAATCAGCACATAAAAATTCACAGCCGAGTTAGCCAAAGAGATCAACGCTAAAAAAAGGTGACTTTGAATTTCTGAAATTTCCCAAAAATAGGATAGAATTAGGATAGAATTCAAGATTTGGTTTATAATACTCATATAACATTTATCAATAACAATGAAAATTACAATACTAATTAATATCAAATGTGGTAGTAATAAGATAATTAATAGTATTATCTAGCTATGTCGGTGTTTCTTCTAAATCAAACTGTAAACCAAATATATCGTATAAATTTCGTTGACCCATGACATGACATGACATTGTCAGTTTGTTTTTATCTTTTTGCCATGACATTGTCAGTTTGTATTTATCTTTTTGCCATGACATTGTCAGTTTGTTTTTGACTTTGGAGTTTGATAATCTTTGTGGTATCTTCCACTTCTTTATATATAAGCGTAGGAACAATTTTTTTTTCAAATTT